CGAAACGAGACTTAGACATCAATTATTCCAAAATCGAAGGATTATAGGTGTGTTTTATTGTGTTATCTGATTTAGACGAAACGCTTGTCCAATAAGTGCTCCTGATATCGATTCCGTAATGAATATTATTTATAAATTAAATGAATCCCCACGGAACTTTTCCATTATGTCTTTCCTAAAAGTAGTATTCGAATGGCAAGTAATACCTGTTGCTTTTAGATAGAACAACCAAGTTAACTTAAAGTAAGTACAATCGGAAATTTCATTTCGCCACATACTAATGTCAAAAAAGATAATAACTGTTTGAACTGATATTTCTTTTGACATATTGGCGGTTCCACAGATTGGAATTATGAGGCAATTGAAGTTAGACCACCATGGAAAACCTGGAAGCACTGGATGGCCGTTTCGCTCTAGTATGTGACTCCTCAGCAATGCGTATCCACGATCCCGCACCCCGCGAGACTCGAACCCAGGACCTATCAGTCTCGCGCCAGGTGCTTAACCAACTGGATCACTGAGTCGGCATGCAATGGTGTTAATGTCTAACTTCAAACAATCCACGAAGTTTCGCGACCGTATACCATTGTCTTTAGTGAGCTGATATCTCACAACAGACCTGGTTGGACTCCACTGGTAACGGTTTCTCACTAGAACTCCAGGAGTATCTGTTGAAGTCAGTCACTAATGAGTAGATGATTATTATCAAAAGGGGTTTGTGGAGATTCTAGAAATTTCACAGATAGAAATCATGAGTCAATTGAAGCGGTTTCTCGAACGAAATCGATCTGAATTGAAAAAAATTCAGTCATCTAACGCATTTTCAAAGTTTAAAATTGGAAGAATTGAGAGAAATCATCCAATGGATAGCATTTCAATAATACATTAATAGTGACTCCCGAACAATGTTATGATGAAACTGGTTTGACAAAACTAAGAAAAATGGTTCTGTACAGCAGAACTATTCATGTTTTAGATTCTTTTAGAAAAGATACGCTTAAAGACTTTTCATTCCAGTTAGAAGTTTCACAAAGAGAAGTGGAAAAACCAACTTGTCATTTTTATGGTATATAATGGTTTTATATAAACCACAGAGGTTCTACTTAGATAAGTGAAAGTGAATGACAAGAAAACTAGGAATCTGTATTATTAATAAACAAATTTATTTCATTATTCTGTATAAAGACCATATTCGAAAATGTATAAATAACATACAACTGCATTAGTGGATGCCGTTCACTAAATCACATTACAACAAACACAAGTAGTGATATCAAACAGTTTAAATCATTAATCATTTATTCACTCACATTAATACGTCATATCAGTCGGACACAAATCACTAACAAATCTAATTGAAAGAAAACTACAAACAGATCCTTTCACTTTATTACACAAAATGATGACAATCATTGATTTAATATCAAACGGCGCTGTTTTGTAGATATTATAGTAATGTCAATGGTTGAGATCACGTGTCAATTGAGGCTACACCACCATGGAAAACCTGGAAGTACTGGACTGCCGTCTCATCCTATTGTGTCACACCTCAGTGGTGCAGAGGTTAAGCGTTCGCACACTAGACCGATAGATCCTGGGTTCGAATCTCGCGAGGCGGGAGTGTGCATACGCACTGCTGTGGAGCCTCACAATAGGATGAAACGGCCTTCCAGTGCTTACACGTTTTCCATGGTGGTCTAGATTCAATTGACATATGATATCAACTATTAAAATCATTGATTTATACAACAGTTAACAATGTGAATATAACACTATGTGAATATCACTATGTACACATGTCCTTAACATGAACTATATTTTCTATCCACTAATTTAAAGGTGAAGAATTCAAACTTGTTAGTTATAGTGATAGAATGAACATGAATATTCCAGTAACCTGGAGATTATTGATTATTTTCTCTGCATTCAACCAACTCTTGATCATGATAGATTTGATCAGATTTCTCTGGATCAATAGTTCACTTAATTAGTGTGGGTTAATTTCTAATATGTTTCTATTCACAGAATGTATTTAGAAGAGTTGAAATGGTAAGCTATCACATCTGGTCAAATACCAATTGTGTGATTCGTCAAGCGAGCCTGTGACAATGAGTGAATGATCGAAATTTCGTCTCCATCACATTACTCAATCATCATCAGTCGAAGTAACTAACTAACTAACTAACTATAATCACCGAATATCACAGTTGATCAGTTGAATACTAACCACTCATTCAATCTCAGTTCGAATGACTGATTGATTGCGATTTCACTCAGTCCATAATTCAGTGTAATTGCACACTGTCACGCTGTTGGCAGATCACATTGCGACTCAGCTCTCTACTGATATCACGTACTAAGTCAAATCAGCCTCCGAATCAAATACACTATCCAGTGTTCACACACTGCATTTTCACAAACTACAAACATTCATCATCTTCATACTGAGCTTGAAATTACTACCGTCTGTCGTCAAGTAGGGCACTCACATCCAATGTTACTCTCAAACCGAATACTGCCAACTGTCAATACTCCACTCGAGGTGGTGAATTCACAGAATTCGATGGTCGGTTTAATGACTGGATTCATATCGATTGTATTTGTGAATGATGTGAATTGAGTATTTGATGTGTTGGTAATTCATTGGACAATACGAGTCACATTACCTTTCATTAATCATTGTGTACAGATTTTTGAAACTTGGGAATAGGTGATACGGTTAAATAAGTGGTGCGTAATCAGTATATTAAAGAACATATTCTCATGTGCAATAATTTTTTGCATTATTGTCTTAGTAATAGTTGTATTAGCATTACTCGTAGTAGTATGAGTCATAATAGTAATTGCATTTGTATTAGTATAAGTACTCGTATAGTAGACGGCGACCAACGGGACCAGTTTATGAAATTTCTTGGTAACATTTGAGAACCATACATTGAATACTTCATTTGAAAAATTCCATCATCTGCTCATCACATTCTGTATGATTCTTCCAAGTCACAATTCCTTTCTATTTCCATCTCCGATTTATTCAAGTCGACCTTCATAGCCTTTTGCTACCAAGCATTCCTCTTCCGACTGGTGCTACACACCACTTACCTATGTCGACATACGTAGTATCTACCACATTAGTAGTAGTAGTAGTAGTAGTAGTAGTAGTAGTATTAGTAGTAGTAGTAGTAGTAGTAGTAGTAGTAGTAGTAGTAGTAGTAGTAGTAGTAGTATTAGTAGTAATAGTAGTAGTAGTAGTAGTAGTAGTAGTAGTAATCTATCAATAGAAATCAACTATAAATTGTTTTAATGCAATTCATTATTATTTGTGCATGACATTTTATGAATTCCTAAGTTTATGTTATGTAAGTGATAAAATGATAGGGGTTTTGCGTGATAATCATTCATATGGCTATAGAACATTTCTATGTTATAGTTGATATTAATTCATGGTTGCAAACTATAACCTTGAACCTTTAATTCCAATCCGAACTCTTTGCCCTTCACCATGAATATATATGGAATCTTAAAAATCTTTTTAAAATGTTATAAAGGTTCAAGAAGACAGAGGATACTAATATGGTCACAATTTTTTGATCACTAGCTGGTGATCAATGTCATGTGTGTCAAGTCCTTATTTAGTGCAGATCGAATGCTATCGATCACGTTGCAATGTGGCCACCAGTCTAAGTGACTCGACATTGCGGGCACTATATATTGAGATCAGATGGTGGCTGAAGGTAGTCGACAGGAAACCCGGGTCCAGCGTTCCCTGTGGTAACGTCTCTGACTGTGAAGCCGGATGACACGGGATCGAATCCGCCAGGGAGCACCAGTTCCCTCAGGATTACAGGTACACCTTGCTGACGAGTGCCAAGTAGCACGAAATACGGGTTCAGAGTTTCCTGTCGACTACCTCCAACCACCATCTAATATTAATATGGTCGAATTTATACTTTATATTTTCAATTTACTGATAGAGTAACCTGTGAAAAACGTTAACAGATTCATTATGTAAAAGCTGTTTACACTTTGTAGCATTATTGCATCGTTTCCCATAAACCATACAGTTATAAAACTGGTTTTTTTCCTGATTGATTAAAGTCTGACTGAAAGTTTGTCATGGTTGTGATGTAATAAAGAGGTTAACTTGACTATTTTTACCAAATAATGGATTTTCATTTAAGACTAATGGTTGATTTGTTGATTAAAGCAATCGGCTATACTAAACATTATGTTTGACGTTGTTATAAATTGTTGTTTGAATGCTTATTGTCTTGGCTCTTTTAATGCTACATTTTGTATATGGTCGTCGCTGATTGTTGTATCGGAAACGCTTATCACTTATACTTGGAACGAGGGACCTCTGTAATTCCCACAACGCGAAAGTAAGAACACAAAGACTGGTATAAGTGATGATTTATTAACCCTAAAACACGACGTCAACGATTCGAGTAGAAAATACACTCATTTATATATTGATTATACACCCATTTTGATTCATAATTAGGATGAAATCACATATATGAAAAATACTTAGAGGTATAACAAATCACATACTGAGCATAGTTCATGTCAATGAAATACAAGAATATCGTATATTATACAGAATACAGATATCATACGAGAAAACAAAACAAATACTACATTGAGTAATCATTACGTTGAATTAAAACGGAAGTAATCTTAAACAAAACTAATCATGAGTAAATCAATAGAAAATTGACTTCTCTTACCATCATATCAGACGTCGAACATATATATCAGCTAATTCAAAGTAGGTTTTGATCTCTCAGGAGTGAAAAATAGATAGTTTGGAATTTCTTGATTCCCAGGAAATTTCTTAGTAATTTTCAATGTACAATAAAAAAGTTACCATGTATTTCTTTTTCCAAATGATGATATCTTACCTTGCAAAAGATCGATAAAGATAAAGTATAATGTAAATCTGATCAGGATATGGAACTCAGTATTATGGTCATTGGAAATATTCCATTCTGACTTAATATTTATCGAGCCACATTAAACCGAGATGCTGATGCTGATGATGATGATGATGATGATGATGATGATGATGATGATGATGATGATGATGATGATGATGATGATGATGATGATGATGATGATGATGATGATGATGATGATGATGATGATGATGATGATGATGATGATGATGATGATGATGATGATGATGATGATGATGATGATGATGATGATGATGATGATGATGATGATGATGATGATGATGATGATGATGATGATGATGATGATGATGATGATGATGATGATGATGATGATGATGATGATGATGATGATGATGATGATGATGATGATGATGATGATGATGATGATGATGATGATGATGATGATGATGATGATGATGATGATGATGATGATGATGATGATGATGATGATGATGATGATGATGATGATGATGATGATGATGATGATGATGATGATGATGATGATGATGATGATGATGATGATGATGATGATGATGATGATGATGATGATGATGATGATGATGATGATGATGATGATGATGATGATGATGATGATGATGATGATGATGATGATGATGATGATGATGATGATGATGATGATGATGATGATGATGATGATGATGATGATGATGATGATGATGATGATGATGATGATGATGATGATGATGATGATGATGATGATGATGATGATGATGATGATGATGATGATGATGATGATGATGATGATGATGATGATGATGATGATGATGATGATGATGATGATGATGATGATGATGATGATGATGATGATGATGATGATGATGATGATGATGATGATGATGATGATGATGATGATGATGATGATGATGATGATGATGATGATGATGATGATGATGATGATGATGATGATGATGATGATGATGATGATGATGATGATGATGATGATGATGATGATGATGATGATGATGATGATGATGATGATGATGATGATGATGATGATGATGATGATGATGATGATGATGATGATGATGATGGAATGTATAATGGCCAACTTATTGAAGAAAATATTATTAGGTATTTACAGGACAACGGATTATTTATGAAAACATACATACAAATGAAAAATTGAAAGAATGAGTTGAAAGAAGTCTGAGATGGGTTGATATTTTACTTCAATGGAGTTAATAAAAGGATTTAAGGTTGGGTAATATTCATGTTAGAAGCGGTATGAGGGATAGAAGTATTTTTAAAATTTGTGGTTAGCATTGGGATTTCATTAGGGTTTAATGTTCGTACTGTGGATTAGTGTACATATAAATCAATAGCAAATCCTAACCTTTAACCATGACTTACTTACGCCCGTTACCTCCCCCCAAACCAATGGATCATAGGCCTCCTACCAGCATTCTTCAACTCAATCTGTCCCCGGCCTTCCTTTCCAGTTCTATCCAATTCTCGCTCATCTCTTTCATGTCTGTCTCCATTTCTCAGTGTAATATGTTCTTTGGTCTTCCGCTTTTCCTTTGACCTTGGGGATCCATGTGAAGGCTTGCCTGGAGCCCCTCTGGGACTACTGTCTGTCCAAAGCCCGGATAAAGGGGAGCGTTGGGCATTTTGTTAGCGACTTCATCCCGTCTAAAATTAACTCACAAAAAATGCTAACCGGAAAAAAGTTATTCAAACCACTTTCACCATGAACCTAACCTTAAATTCTAACAGTTGAGAACCGATAGCAAGTTTGAACCAATCGCTAATAGCATAAAATTAATCTATTCTTTCATTTACAAATATAGACTATCAGAAGGAGTTTTGTGGAGATTTTAGTAATTCCAATAGTTGAAATCCTTAGTCGATTGGAGCTAGACCACCATGGAAAACCTGAAAGCACTGGACGGCCGTTTCGTCCTGGTTTCGAATCTCGCGGGGTGCGGGATCGTGGATGCGCACTGCTGAGGAGTCCCATATTAGAACAAAACGGCCGTTCAGTGCATCCAGGTTTTCCATGGTGGTCTAGCTTCAATTGACTCATAATTACAAATTTATTGTTTATCTTTTAATATTGTCATAAGTAAATAAATCAATGTTACAATAATTTCATGTTCTATAATTTAATCTAAGAATAAATGATCTTTGAATAGATGAAGAATTTTGCATAACAATAAGTAAATATTGCCAAAAACACTTACTGGAATTTTCCCATTGGACTTTTGGTGTTTTTCTTTTTAAAAGAAAAAAAATTAAATTTCTGAGTTGAAAATTTTGATAATTAGCAACTTGTATTAGAAACAAAAATTTAGCATATTTCACAATAAAATATTATATTTCTTAAATGTCAAGGATATGTTAAATGATAATTGTACCTGATTAAAACATTTGTTACTATTTGCCCAAATATCTAATCAATAATTGTGTAAATAACACCGCCTGTAACTGTTCGAGTGTTACTACCAGTTCTAAGCCCGCGTAAAGGAGGAGGGTTGGGCATAGGATTAGCAACTTCATCCCATAGAAAACAATATATTCAATAATATTTAAGAGGAAGAACAAGTGCCACAGATAGACTGAGAAGAAGGACACCATATGAAGATATCAAAGAAAGGAAATCTGAGAAAGTGTGAAAACTATAGAGCCATCACATTAATGTTAGTATCATGAAAATTTTCAACAGACTGTTGTTGAACCGCACAAAAGACTCAGTAGACATCCAACTTCGAGACCAAAAGGCTGAATTCCGAAAGGATCGATAGTGCACAGACCAAATCGCAACACTACGGATCATCATTGAACAATCAATTGAATGGACCTCGTCACTATATATCAACTTCCTTGACTGTGAGAAGGTATATGAAAGATTGGATAGGTATACCTTGTGAAACCTTCTTCAACACTATGGTGTACCTGAGACCTTCAATATCATTTGGAATTCATACGACAGACTACACTACAAAGTCGTGCGTGGAAAACAGCTGACAGACGTATTCCAAGTGAAGATCGGAGTCAGAAAAGGCTGTCTACTCTCGCTTTCTCTTCCATGTGGTGGTTAATTACATTATGAAGACCTCGATATCTGAGGGGAATCACGGAATACAATGAACAAGTGCTTGCAACTAGACGATCAAAATTCATCGACAATTAATTATTTCTAGGAATTACCATCGATTTTGAGAAATCTAATAAAGGAACACATTACAGTGAATGAATCCAATACAGGATTGAAATGATTAATAGTTATTCAGCATTTCTTCATTTCAATAATAAAACATTATGATTCTGATAGATCACTGAACAAATGAGTAAATAATTCCCTTTTGTGAACGAATTTTTTGAATAAACTGTTTCCAAATGAAGTGCACGTTCTGCCATGTTCCACAGAAAACACTTTTGTGAAATACGTATGCCTATCTCTACCTCGTTACATACCACAGAAATGAATGGGTTTTTGTCTCGTATTGATTGTTGGTCTGTTGGTAATGGTCTCAAACTTAATCCGTCTAAATATCAAGCTGTTAACTTTAGTATGAGACATGAACGGCATCTAAACAACATTTTGAGATCCCATAATGCTTGTGTCACTGGAGACTCATCGATAAACACAGTGTCGAAGGTCAATTATCTTGGTGTCATCTTTTCCTCTGATCTCTCTTGGTCTTCTTACGTTTTATTGTTATCGAAGAAGGTTTTCCGTCTGACTTACTACATAAAGAGATTGCATGCTCTTGGGATTACTTGTCATTTACTCTTACAATTTGTCAATTCTTGCATATTACCTATTATTCTTTACTGTTCTCCATTATTCTTTCTCGAGCTTTTGAGAAAAGACTTTGCTGCATTACAGCGAGTGCTGAAGGCAGTTAGCAAGGTGTGTGGTGAATCTTTCGAGGCCATAACTAATGTGGTTGTGGATAGACATCTAAAATAATGCGAATTCCTGGCAGGTGTTATTTTATCAGATACTAACCATCCCCTTCAATCTTATCTTTCTCCTGGTATATCTTCTGGTAGAACGAGACGTAATTACACTAAAATTCATGCACGCAAGCAAAAGTATAAAAGTTCCATAATATCTTATCTAGCAAATATACTCTGTGACGAACATGTTGTTATAGTAACCTAGTCAATAACTTGCATTCTTAAAATGTCTCCAACTTGAAAATTTGCACAGTTTTTCAGACTTTTTAAACATTTTTCCCCTTTTTTGTCTTTGTTTCTGTATTTTTTTTGTGTGTATGAAACTTGTTGAAATACCCTGTGATGAGAATTCTATATTGTACCAAAATGTAATATTGAATAAAGCTATTAATAATGATGATAATAATAATAATCTGAACTTCTCAGATCACCTACCACTTTTATCCCACACACGCCAACAAATTCAAGTGAAGCCAGCCAGTGTAACAGACGCCTCTACATCAGTAGGCTTCAACACACACAAAGGAAAAAGCAATATCATGAATTATAAGACGATGAACACCAACCCAATCACATTTGATGGGAAAGCTCTGTAAGAGATAGAAAGCTTTACTTACCTCAGCAGTAGTATCATCGATAAACATGGAGGATCCAATGCAGACGTAAAGGCAAAGATTGGCAAAATATGAGTCACATTCTTACAATTCAAGAACATATGCAACTGAAAACAACTGTCTGAAAGCCAACATACAGTCACAATCTTCAATACGAATGTCAACACAGTTCTACTACATGGAGCTGAACCTTGGAGAACTATCACAACCATTATAAAAAATGTACAAATATTTACAAACAATTGTCTACGTATGGTATCGAATGCCGTTTGGCCGGATACTATCAGCAACGGCCTATTGTGGGAGAGAACAAACGAGATTCTAACTGAAGAGGGAATTAGTAAAAGACGTTGTAGGTGGATAAGACACATTGAAGAAATCATCAAACTGCATCACGAGACAAGCTGTAACTTGGAATGGTGAGAGGAAATGGAAAAGAGAAAGACCAAGCAACACACTGTGCAGAAAATTGGAAACATACATGAAAAGGATTGTTCAGGATACAATTGGACGGAGAATGCTGGTGATTGGCATTTGCTCCTCCACGAGGTGTTACAGGCGTAAGTAATAATTATAAATAAACATCATTCCATAGTTCATATCCAAAATTAATAATGAACTTCAGTAATCGACTAAGTAAATATCAAACATTATCGTTAGAATCGAATAATCATATGAACACCTTATCAAGTCCATTGTCATATAGTTCAACAGTTCAAATGTTTTATTTTAATTGACGAATAAGTAGTATTATTCACATAGTCTGTTCTTTGATTCGTCAACTGATAAAATTATGTATAAAAGTATGAAATGTAAATCTCTTTTATTTAACCCGGAACCTGAATGAGTTTTCTTTATTTAGTAATTTTAGAATATATAAAACTTCATTCATTGTACATCATTTTGTTTTCTAACTACACTTGTCTCAAACACATTAGATTGTCATTAACATAACTATTTCACAATTTGTAAATGATAAGTAACTTTAAGGGTTTAGTCTAGTAGATGAAAAAAGAGATTGGGTATAGTGATAGAATCACATTCAATTATTATTCAATGTGTCACTATATAATCATGAAGCAATAACAATCCATCAACTTCGTACATATTCACCTACATATAACTGATGCAATCCATCAAGTACTTGAGAGTTTCCAATCAAAAGTTCAATTCATTGTTTGTACATCATGAAGATATTTATGGAGGACAAAGCTATGGACACAATATCATGCTTATTAAATAGACCATATTATTTGTTATATCCGGTGAAGATTAAATTACAGGTAACTTCCGAGGACTATTCATGGACTAATATTCTATAAATATTCTTATTGTATAATTACTCAACAATTACATTACGTATATTTATATTCCTTTTATGATAAGCTTTATTTTGACCTATAATTTATTATTGTACGATTTACGGTTCTTAAGTTATGTTCAGTTTATTAACTACTGCCTCCCACATTCACAGCCACTTTTTGGGCTTATTTGTGTACAAGTGTTATTTTCCTATTTTATGGTACGTTGCGGTCTGTGTGATTGATATATAAACCAAGTATGCATGAAATAAACGATTCGATTCGATTC